TAGCAGCTTGGGTTGCTGCAAGCAAAGAATATTTCAGTCCAGAGCTGCACTGCACTATGTGAATTTGCCCTTTGTGTCACAAACCCAGTCTCCTGTCTTGTAACAATCACAGTGAATCAACTTTTGTTGGTAACAAAAAAATCCTTTGGTCAGAGAGATCAAGAATTTAAATCTTCAAGAGTCACTTAGTGAGCTTGCAAATGGCCTGAAAGGCCAGCTGAAAACCACTATCATCCCCAAGAACTTGGAGAATAGCTCACTGTCCCAAAACAAAACCAGAATGTTTTTAAGGAAGGGGAATTTCACTCTCAGAACTACACTCTCAGGCTGATCGGTCTCTTCAGCTGCTTTGGTTTTCATCCTTTTTTCTAAGTCATGCAAACAGTGCCCTGAAGGGAAGGATTGTTTTTCTCACCTGAGCCAGTAGATTCATTCTGGCAGGAGACAATAAAAAAGTCCGAGAAATTGCTGAACTTACCAGCTATTTATTCTCTTTGTAAATTAATGAAGAACTAACTAAATATCTGAGTTGCTAATGGGAATTTCTCTGAACCGCTCAGACAGAATGGGCCCTTAAGGATATTCAGCCTCACCTTGTGGTAGTCTAATGGGATATGTAACAGAAAATTGTTCCAAGTAGTGTTGGGAAACCACAACTGCTGTTTGTCTGCCATTATAACTAATCCTTTCTTGTAATGGATTGGCTGCAAAGCAAGTTCTTCTCTTGCTTCCCAGTTTTCTGGCTTCTGGAGTTTGAGTACAGGGCTTTGTCGGTGGCGCATCCCATTGTTACGGCCACAGAGCACTTCCTAACTTTCTCCAGTGCCCTTCAGTGGCCCACAGAACCTTCAAGGAAACTGTACTGCAGGTACACCAGAAACTCCAAGTTTGTGTTCACTCACTTTTTTTTTTTTCTCTTTGACCGCATGCCATCTGCAGGGCAGAATCAGCCACATGTAAAGTTAATGCCCTAAGATTATGGTTTCAGTGTTACAACATAACCCTGCACTCCAGTTGTGCTTTCACAGAAATACAGCTCCTAGATTGTAAACTTTATGCTTCTCATTATTAGTTTCTAAAACAACATTAAACCCCACATATATCCTTTGTATGCAGCACAGCAGTGTGAGGTCAGAAGCATAAATGGGAAAGTGGCATATTGCATATTTAAGAGTATAGGAAATCAGTAGCTGTATGGGCAGGGCTCCAGATACCCTCCCACTCTCTGAGTAATCTGTGCTACCTGCAGATGAGTATTCTGTTTCTCTTTCTAGCAAGCCCACAAAATGGATTTGCCTGTATGGGTGACACCAGATGTCATGATGCAGCTGAAGCAACTAAAAGACTTTGGTTTTGAATTTCTGTTTGGGATCCACAATCGGGAAGAAAAAGCTCGTCTGCAAGGCGGTGAGTGCACCAGGGAGGGAGCCTCGTGCTGCTCTGTCTGGGTTTTGCCTCTTACCAGCTGTTCTCTTTCCTCAGGGGTCCTGCTGGATCACATAAGGAGAAACTTAACCAAAGCAGCAAATGTTTCTGCCCATCAGAACCTGAAACTACTTGCCTATTCAGCAGTAAGTCAGAGCTAGGGTGCTAGTTTATAGCCATCTCCTCCTGCTCCACAGGGGATTGGGGCTTGGTGATAGTTTTAACCCTTTCTAGCTTCTCTACAGCCTATGCAGTGATCAGGACATGCATCTTTGCCTCTGGCTGGGTGGGATCATTCTTCTGGGGCCCCTGATGAAAACTCCTACGTGTGCTTTATTCCTTTTAGCTCAGGCTCACGGATGAGACTGGCAGACTTTGGGGAACCACTGCTGTATTTACTTAGTAGATGGGTAGATTCTAGAGTGATGTTTCAGAAACATAGATACAGTCATCTCCCCTTTCCAGCAGCCTACTGGAAAGTCAAACATCTCTCCCAAACTGCTCTCTAGAGATTAATTCTTAAAAACCAATGCAGGATATATATGGCTGTGTTTCACTTCCTCCCCTTCCCCCTCCATCACAGATCATTGTTCTAGCAGTACAGTTCCTCTCCCTTTCTCCAGATGGAAGTTACAAAGGTGACGTCCCCTCAGCGCTGGTACGGTCTGAGCTGCCCTGCCACATCCATAAGGATGACTGATTTGGTTTTTTTCCCTCTTTCTCAGCATGACAGCACACTTGTGGCACTGCAGATGGCTCTAGATGTCTACAACAAGATCCAAGCACCATACGCCTCATGTCATTTATTTGAACTGTACCAAGAGGATGATGGGTGAGGGCTGCAGTAAAGACGTCTGCTCTGATTTCACCTCAAGGGTTAGATACCTAGGCCAGGCTCCACCCTAGGGGCATGCAGTCTTGCTCCTAGTGGCAGACTCTCACGAGGAAAATTTATGAGAGTAAAGGAAAGGGTGTGCACACTGAGTTTTTGGGAAGGGATGACTTAAGCTAGAGAAAAAAAAAGATGAAAACACATCTTCTTGTGTTCTGTTTTCAGTAACTTCTCCGTGGAGATGTTTTACCGGAATGAGAGTGGGAAGGAACCTTTCCCTCTGACAATCCCTGGCTGTGAGCATAAATGCCCACTGCAAAGATTCTTGCAACTCACAGATCCTGTTGTTCCCCAGGACTGGGAGCAAGAATGCAAGGTAGCCAGCAGCATCCATGACACAGGTGAGCCCAAGCTGGACCAGAGTGTGGCAGAAGGGGAAAGCTTGGACAATACCACGCTGACCACTTGTTTTCTCCCTTGCAGAACTGTTTGTGGGTTTGGCTGTGTGTGGATCCATTCTCCTCCTCCTTATAATCCTCCTCTTGACTGTACTCTTTCGCATACAGTCTCAGCCCCCTGGCTACCGGCATGTTTCCAATGAGGGAGAAGAGCAGGCCTGACAGTTGCTTCAGCTCCTTCCCAGGCAGTAGCAGGGAGCTGTGTTGCCCTTAAGAATGATTGGGCACCTTCACTTACTGAGCCACTTTCTATTTTGGCCTTTGCTTCCCAGAACAAAGCTGGACTTGATTTTTGGATGCTTTCTAAAGGTGACATCCCAGAGAAAAAGGTCTAAGCTACTCTAGTAGAAGTAACACCTTAATTTTGAAGCCAGTATACTGTGTGGTGCCCCTGGTCCTCATACAGCTTACCTAGTCTGGGTAACAACATGGCCAGTTCAAGTTTTCCTCCTTTCAACTGACTGTAAATGTTACCACTCATCATGACTGGCGAAGAAGCTTGGGCCTCCAGCAGCTGCCACATCCAGTTGCATTTCTCTTCAGAGTCAACTTGTTTTGAGTGCTTTTCCCTCACACCACAAGGCTGCTGATGGTGGGAAGGCTGGGCTTGGAGCTGAGGGCACAGCTCACCAGCAATGCACCAAGATTCATCTCCTGTCCCTGCAGAGGGAACTGCTGCAGATGATGGGAGACAGTGGAAGTGTTTCTTGAGGTTGCTGCCAAGTGGCTGCTGCCAAGTAGTTGCTGTTGGCAGCTGGTCTTTTTTTCCCTTCTCACCCTGTGGCTCAAGAGAGGACTGGCCTGAAATCAGGGCAAGATTGAAAACCTGGCAGTAGTTCCTAGGATTCAGCTCAGAGTAGAACCATAGAACCCAAAGCTCTTAAGAGCTTCATGAGTGAGAGTAATGCCTGCAACCATAGCAAACCCACGCTCCATTTCTTGAGCAGTGTTGGCTCTAGAAAGGAAAGTCCCCGTAGATAGGAAAGCTAGGTTCTCTCTAGAGATCCAAAGTTTGAATTTTACTTCCCACCTCTGAACTTCAAGTAAGTTCAGGCTTGAGTAAGTCCAACTCAAGTGAGTATCCAGTACTGCAGGCAGTCCAGATTTCAGCCCAAGGAATATGCTTCATTAGCAGAATGTTTTTATGCTGCAGATGTAGCAGAGCTGTTTACCTAAGACTAGATTAAATGCCAAGTTCTGTAGTTTTTCTTCCTGTCTTCCCTACTGGATGGACAACAATCAATCAAAAAAACCACCATTAAGGATCAGAGTTGGCAGGTGACTGTATTCCTTTAATTGCCACACTTCAGCATTTTGTCCAAAGTGTGATTCTTTCTCTCCTGGCTGGCCTTTCAGTGACTGCAGCTGCTGCAGGGACTTTCACGCCAAGTGTTCACTACCTGCCTTGTAGCTTTTGGCAAAAAATGAGACTGCAGCGGGCACCAGAAGCACAGGCTCTTCACATGGTGATGCTGCACATTCACTTCCCACTTTTACTTCCCTTTCTGGTGCAGTTCCCTTTCCCTCTTGGCAGCAGAAGCCAGTTCTTAGCCTACAGACATTTCCTTTTCTTGCCCTAAGGAGTACCATGGGAACTTTTCCCCACACCGTAATCAGCATCTGCCACCATGGGAACTGTAAATCAGCAGAAGTAGCTTGCTGTTCTCAGCATCTTCCTCACCTTTTTGTCCGCTGAAGATATAAACTAGGTCTCCTGCACAGCAAGACAGTCATTAAAAAAAAAAGCTCCTGCCTGTGAGAACAGGCACAAGAAGGGGGTAATAGAAAGTGCATTGCAGAGGACCAGACCTGTTATTTTTAAAGGCACCAAATTTTGCACACACAAAGGAAACGTTTCTATGATGATTTAGACATTTTGACTGTGAATGACTTCTTGTAATTGCTCCGATACATTTCATTATTAAAATCAAATCCGTGCTGAACTCTACTCGTCATCTTCTCTTACAGTTCATGGGGCTAGCACCAGTGTGCTCAGTGTTGGAAAACAGGCAGAACTTACTGCAGCATATCCTCTCCCAAAGGAATTCCCTGTTTCACAGTCCCACATATAGCACAGGGAGAATCGAGATAAGCTATTTTTGACTGCAGCAGCTATGCAAAGATAGAGCTGATAATGCATCCTGCCCTACTTGAAGGGGTCCATAGCAGAACCAGTACTATGACTGCTACTTCCACCACTGTTCTAGGTCTCGCAGCCCTCTTGCAGAAAGGTCTCAAACTTCTCCCCTACAAATGCAGTTCAGCAGAATACTCAAGGCAGCCACTCTGTATCAAAGAATTTTAGTTTAATACAAAACTTTATTAATACTGCAAAACTATAAAAGTGAACATGGAGAATCTGCGCAGGCCTGGAGCCCATCCCATCCATCAACCTCTGGGACAGCAGCAAGGCCCTGGGCAGCCTTGTAAACAAATCAGAAAAAGCAAAACTTTAGACTTTAACAACAGTCTTGAGATTTGGCTCTAAGCAGGGGTGTTTGGAAGAAATTCCTCATTTCTGCTTTATAACACTTTTATCCAACATTCTGAAGCACCTGGGTGAAAAAAATTGCCTAATCAGTGGCAAGAAAGAGCCTAGAACTCTGACAATAGAAACTACAGAATCAGTAGGCCCAGCTCCATACTGCCCTTGCATCCCATGAGGCAGGTAGACACCTCTGGCATCATCATGTTCTTTGTGGTCCAGTTAAATAGCTGCAACAACAGAACAGGCTAAGCCTGAGGTCTTGACAAACATTTTCCAAGAAGCTTGCATATGGAAGAGCTCGGTGTTTCCTAGGCTACCTGAGCTATCCGTCACCTCAGCCTTGTAAACATTCTACCTTTTCAGGATGTTAAATCCTGTTAGCAAATGGTTTCTCAACTCATTTGGACTAGAACAGGCTAGGGACCCTACCATGAGCTTCTCTAAAGCAGACTACAGGAAATGGTAACCTCTGACAAGTGATGACAAGCAGATATGGCAGATTGGAAGCAGTAACTTCAGCAGGATTTGAGAACATCTTTGAAGTTTTCCTAGTGCCTCAGAAAATAAGTGCTAACTCCATTTGCAGGAGGAACCAAGTACTGACACAACTTTCTAGAAGGGGAAGCCAAGAGGATGAGGGAACCAAGATCAGATCCAGGGAGGAGGGACAAAATCTAATGCCCTGTACAGCTTATACTGCCCATTGGCAACAACTGAGTTTGTACCCTGGGATTCAGAAAGGATCAAAATACTAAATCACTTCTCTAGATCCTTCCCTTTTCGCTTTCTTCCCTTGGATTTAGAATCATTGTTTTTAGTTCTCATCTCGTCCAGCTCCCAAGACAATAACTTAGCTTTGAGTTTGCTTGTGCCAGGGTTTGCCTGCCTCTGCCCTCCACGTCTGGATGAATTCCAGCTTCCAATCCCCTGTTCTGTCATGGCTTTCAAAAGATGTTCTTGCTTCTTGGCCACCATCTCCTCCCGGCTCCAAATCAGAATATTAAAGCCTGAGAAGAAAAATTAAACACTGTACATCAGAAATTCTACATCAAACGCAATACCTTAGGCTATGTCACTTAAAAGTCAGAAATTCAAAGGGTTTTGTCTGTTCTAAGGTATTTCCAAGATATAGAGAATGCAAAAATAGTTATTACAGATACTATTTTCACATAGCCATGGAAATGCCATCTAACTAAGAAACAGAAGTAATTTCTAATCTCATCTGTCACAAGTCTAAGATCTCAATCTATAACCAGCTACCTTAATCCCATACAGCCTGCGAAAAACAGTAATCTTGGCTCTGCAGCCTAGGAAATGAGATAAATGAAGGGAAAGGGTACATCCTAGCAGAAAAAGGCTTTCCCCCCTCCATTGTTTTCTTCTACTGTTTCATGGCCGGCAGGTGGCAGCGGCTCCCTGCTGCCAGGAGGCTTCCTGCTCCTCTGGACTTGATATTCTCATGAATGTTTCACAGGAGATGACCTGTTTTCCAAGTGCAAAGGTGTAAGACTGAAAAAAAAGTCTTAATCTATTTTACAGATGTAGGAATTTATAGAGGACTACTGGCAAGTGGGATTTGGGAAACCCCCTCTTACAACTTGCTTTAGTACAGAGTAACAAGGCAGCCCTTTTCTGGAATCCACCCATGCTTAGTACCCTGAGTTCTCTTTACTTACCCGTGCCAGAAGCCAGTGTGTCTCCCATAGGGTTAAATTTATTGAGCTGAAAATGAAAACACAATCACAGTCTGTAAGAGCATCACTGCTTATATAACAGTCATAAGAGCACCACAGCTTATATAACATCAACAAACCATCTGGAAAACCCAGTGTTTCCTAGGAGCATCACAAAACCCCCATAGATGATCATGGACTAGCCCTGCTTGAATCAGCAGCTTTAGCTGGCAGCCATATCCCATGACAGCATGAGTCTATCACAAGTAAAGAGGATATTATTCTAGTCACTAACCCATACCTCCTTCGCAGAGAGATACAGCAGTGTTCAGTACACAGTCACCCTTTTAGCTGCAGTGCTCAACTCACCGAGATGATACCACAAGCATTTGGATCGTGGAGTTGACAAACCATCTCTCCGGTGTTTCCATCAAATACATCAACAGTTCGTAGCTCATCCATTGTGTACTCTGGGAACTTGGGGTCTGGGTAGCGACCTACGACAATGAGGTCATAGCGAGGATGCCATGTTGCCTAGTCATAGAGCAGAGCAATGTAGAGTTTAGAGAAAGGGATAGAGCTCAGTACTGACACCAGACAACTGACACTGAGCAACACTGTATACATCCCACCCACAGTTTGAGGAACAGTGCTCCACTGGAAGGTGCAGCAGTGTAAATATCCACCCACAAATGTAGTATCTTGACCAGCCATCGGGCCATTTCTAATTTACAGCTGGCTGCTAGTACCAAGCGTGATGCTCCTCTGAGACTTAACTCACCTTAATAGGTGTGAGGTGCTGAAAATGCCTATGTGGATGTGGAATCAGATGCTGTGGCTTGGTCCAGTCTGAAGATGAGTAAACCCTGATTTCATTGCGCTGGTCTGTGCTCAGAAGCTTTGCACCATCTGTTGGGCTGAAGTAAGCTAGAAGAGGGGGACAGCAAGGCAAATTAAAGATCACAATGCTGTGACTGATACGAAACAGAAAAGTCACATTTCTCTGATTGAAAAGCCATTGCTATTTCTTTAATAGGGATTTGAATATGGCTGTGTCTCAACAAACAAGGCTTTACCTGTCTCAAACAAAATCAAGGCTCTTACATACAGTAAGCTGAAACCTACAGTGTAGAGTTACCTAGGAAGAATCATTAGTCTCATTTCAGAATCACAGAAGGAGACATTGTGAAGAAAGGAACATGCTCGTCCAAATGAAAAGGCAGTGGAATAATGAGACAGTCATCTGCAGTTTGGACTTCCATGAACTGGTAAAGTTGCACCCAAGAAACAGAGTCTTATGCTCTGCTTTTGTCAAAGGACTGCTCCAGTAAATTCAGTTTTCTAATCTCAGCCACTGCTGATGCTTCCAAACTCACTTCTCAAGGTACAGCGCCAGAGTTTGTATGTCTAGTCTTAAGAATGTGCTGCAGCTGCCCTATCCACCTCCCTGCCTCTGGCCACACATTCCCAATGCCCTCCTCCCAATGGAATCTGAGTAAAACCTCACACTGCCACAACAATAAAACCTGAGCTGAGCGGACTCTCTGCAGATATCCATGCAATTAAATCCTTATCTCAACTTACCTGCATTGACAGGTTTCTCATGAGGAAGCACATGAAGAAAGCTCATTTTGTTTTTGATGTTTCTGAGGTCCCAGATTTTGACTGTCTGATCCACAGACGCTGTGGCCAACAGCCACTCGCATCGGGAGTTAAACTCTACATGAGTCACTTTCTTCCTGTGCAATTTCAGCTTCCAAATCTGCAGCAAACAGAAAATCATAAAAAAAATGACCAAGGTCTGGAGTAAAGAAATGGAATAATCTACTACTACAGGGTAAAGAGGTCTCACATTTACAGAGTAACTAAACTTTTAAAATACACCAAGAGTTTGTTCACTGGAAACAAAAAAGGAAAACAATGACCTTGGGAAATAACTGTTTAATTCTAGGAGAACTGTGATCCACCAATTTATTACAGATGTGAAAAAGGAGGATGCAATCCCTGGTTCATGGAAGGAAGTATTAGTGCCACTGTACAAAACAAGATCACATCTAGAAGACTTTAGGCAGAAGGATTAAAACAAAATGGAACAGGTACAAAAAATGTGCTGCCAAGATAACAAGAGGAAGCACCTGCTTTGTGTGGAAGACCAAAGAACCTTCCTTTGTTTATCTTAGTAAAAATGGTGAGAGGAGATATAATTGGCTTCTAGAAACATATCAGCAAAGAAACATGAGTGTAGGTCAAATATTTCAATTAAAAACAACAAATAAATATAAACTGGCCATGAATAAATTTCTATCCAAAGCCAGAAGAGTATTTTTAATCAAAATAATTAATCCCTAAAATAATGGGTATCTCCCAAGTGCAAAAAAGATTGTCATGTTCTTTCAGAAAAAAAAAAAAAAGGACAGCAAGCAACTAACCTTGAATAACGACAAAGAATTTGGAGCACTCCTGACTCTGCCTGCTAATTTACATAACTGCCTTGTGGCAAACTCTTACAGATGTTACCCTTACAGGCAGGAGAGATGGCAATGCCAGTGTGGCAGTACAGCAGGCTCTTCAGGGTCCACTCCACATTCTCTCCTATGTGTCTGCACTGCTTCAGTCTTGTCTCTGCCTGCCCTCTCGTGTCTAACAGCAGGAATGCGATTTCCATCCCTAAGTTCACTGCATTATGGCTGTGTGCCTACTCCTAGGTCATGGAAGGACGTACATCAAAGCAGTATCTCTCAAATGACTCCCATCAGTGCACTAAGTTTCTGGAAGTGTGAAGGTTGTTGGCAGAGGATGCTCACATTTTCACATTACCCTATAATTACTCTGGCCAGTAGCAAATACGGTTAGGAAGGGATAGCACATGACACAGTCCCTGTTTGGGACTCACACTCAACAATGTGAAAATGTCTAATGGATGGCAGAAGTGGAGGACTTCGCACTACCCAGACAACGGGTGGACTCATCTCCTGAGCTGCAAGACACTTGCTCCTCTTTTTGGGGTCCCTGTAGTGTAGGAAAGCACATGAAGATTCCCGTAGAGATGATGCTGCATGGAGCCATACGAACCTCTTCACCAGAAGTGCTGAGCAGGACCACGTTGCCCACATTATCACCTGTCACCACCGCACGGCAGCTTGCAGAAACATCCACACTGCAGTACCAGCAACTAGAGGGAAAGACACAAAATCAGTGCTCCTCCCACAGGAAAGTGAAGGTAGTGGAGCTCTGGTTCACATCTCATCCCTGACAAGGGAGACTGCAACAGATTGTTACTGCAATCTCCTGCCCGATGGTGTGGGCCTGAGTATCAGGAAGGATGGCTTATCAGCAGTGCTTTCTGTTGGTGACTGAATATGAAATAACTTCCTAGGCATTTTCGAAGTTCTCACTAGATGGAATGTAACATATTGGGACAGTGAAACATAATAGAGGCTGAAGAGCCACTTGGTGCCTGCACGTGAACATACCTTGGGAAAGATCAGAACACCCCTGGGACAACAACAAATGTGCAGAAACAGCTTTAAAATTACATTTTCCACAAAACACTGAAGCAGCAGTAAAAACAAAAGCTTTGTACTGAAAAGTTGCACCTCAAACTATCTCAGCTTTATGCTCCAGGAAACAAAACTTAATAGAAACTTATCTGATAAAGACATAGGTCTTAACCCCAGCTCTGCTGGGAGGGGAAGGGCAGCGAGAATAAAGCTGTGATCCTTTGGGAACTTGTTGTGAAAACTTTACTTTCAAGATAAATTATTCTAAGAATTCAAGGCCATGGAAATGAACATTGTGAGCCTGAAGTCTCCAGAAGAGCCACAAGGTAAACTCAACAACCTGAAAGATGGCACAGGAATGTTTTGTGGCTTTCCTATGCTACCTGAGCTGCTACGGACAAAACAGACCAGTGGCAACAATGAAGAGGAGGAAGTTACCCTGCTCTTCTCACTTCACATTTTATAAAGTGAAAAGCTATCAATATCTGCAAGATACAAGATGGCATCACCAGAAAGCAAACCAGAAGATGCAGGCAGCACGCTCAGCTACTGTAAAAGTGTAAGTGCCCTGTGCTGCCCTGCCCTGCAGTGCTAGGTCAGGATCAGGACTCTGTCTCCAAGCTCCCTCCTGGGACTAATTCATACCAAGAGTCTCCTAACACTGGCAAAGATGAAGGTGTTAGAGATCTGAAGAAGTAGTGCAGCATTAACCCCGAGGAACAGAGATTCAACCTTGCCGTGCCCTCTTCTCACCAAACATTATGGTGCTCATGGCCACAGTCCGGGGCACGAGAGATCACCTGCACCGCTCTGCTCTCAAGGTCCTGCAGACTTAGGGTGCCATCACCTGATGCCACATAAAGCTTCACTGCCTCATAAGGACTGAACTTGATGTCTCCAAGAGAATCTCCAGCCCCTTTCTGAAATACACACAAAGCCAAGAGGCATCACGGTTAGAGTGGAAGACAAAATCTTAATGCAACAGTCACCTCCTGGAACACACTGCCAGTTTCCCTAGGCATAAGCACTGCTTTCAGGCAGAGAAGATCGATAAGAACTTTTTTTCTAACCTGTTTCCAATCTGGTTACATATATTCTGAGCCTTTTAAGTTCACCCTCACCACACTGCGCTGCAAACCTCATTAGCAGCTGCTTCTGTTATGGGGATAGGACTAATCTGCAGTGAACCACCTGGCTCAAACCAGGCTTAGGAGATCACAAGCAAAAACAGCACCATCCCATGCATAAACCACAAAAAATCTCATGACAGTGCAGCCCCAAGCTTTTCTTAGAGAGACTTCATCACTAGTTACCCACAGGCTGTATCTGGTCTTTCTCAAGGTACCAACAGGCAGGATGAAACTGTTGCATAGAGAAATCTTACTGCTAACCCCGTGGCACAGGAATCTTGTGCTATGTCATATTGTTATGTTGTTTTCCCCCAGCCTGTCTACTGAGGAAACTTGGAAACCCTACGCAATGACAGAAAAGAAGACCAGTACCTGGGATTCCCCAAACTCTTTGATACTCAAGTGCACTCCATCTGCTGCTCAAAGAAAAACTACTTAAGGTCTGTAAATACTAGATTTCAAGAAGCCAATGAAGATTAAAAAAAGGCCCACCCATAGAGCCTGCCTGTCCTCACAGCAGTGGAAGGAGGATGGCATGCCCTTTCAAATCCAGGCATCATTGCTGCAACAGTCATCCCACTGGGATTCTTGTGCCCAGGACCCAGTTTATTTCTCCTTGCTCACCTGGCCAGTCATCCCAGCACTACCTGGGTTCGCCTTCTGCACTATTACAAGGTTGCAGGTGAACAGCCAATTTGGAAAACAACCATAAAAGCTGCCACCCGGAAAGAATCAAGTGGGGAAAAGTAATGCAGAAGCTAATCCAAATTCTCTCACTTACCTTTAAGCACTGAATGGAAGTAACTAATTGGAGAGTTGAGGCTTCCTCATGAGTCCACAGAAAAAGCAATTCTGAGAAGGTAATTCTTAGAGCTGCCTCTAGCAATTCATCTCCCCTTTTCACTCATTACTAAAGGAGCCCAGACTCTTAATTTTGGTATTTTGGGTAAGCACCAAAAGCTAGGTGGAATGAATTGGTGTGATCCTTATGGCATGCACTGCTTGAAGTCAGTGGCATTAGAGGAGAAGCACAGAGAGAACTATGAATTGTCATGTAAAAACTATCTGACAACAAGCAGCACTGCTAGCAGGTGAAGAAGTTAGAGGGTCTGTAGAGCACTGAGTTTTGGGAAGTTTTAAGAACAGACAGCTGAGGAAATCCACTGGCATCCTCACTCTCTCATGTACAACAGGAAGTAAGCAGAATCAAAGAGTCCCTCCCCTTCAGTGAAGAAAAGCTCTCTCCTACCCACTACCCCATTTCAGGGAAAAATAAAAAGAATGAGCCTCCCTGAATTCAGAGGATAGAAGACATGTATGTGGGGAAGAGGAAGCCCAGCTCTCACATATTCAAGACAAACATCTCTCTCTCGCTCTCTCTCTCTCGCTCTCTCTCTCTCTCTCTCCCTGTAGTGCTCCTGCCAGCAGGACACAGAGGCCCAAAGCATTACTGTGTTCTTACTCCCAGTCCTCGGTGCTGGTGAAGACCCGGACAGTATTGCCATTAAAATCCTGCAGGGTGGTAGTGCCGGCAACTGATGAAGTGTACAGCTGACTAGGGTTAAAAGGGTTAAACTTCATTCCTGTGATGGCCCCTCCAGCTCCCATCTACAAGGAAGGGGATGAACAAAAGAAAAATCCACTGAGTGATGGGGAAGGAGAAAAGTGTGTTCTGTAAGTCTGCATTCACTGCTATGTCTATAACAGCAACAGTGAAACACACCACAGTCCTCTAAACAGGCAAAGATAACCATGTCTCCCACATGACGGCTGTCTAGACAGCAGCCCTCCTAGAGGACAAATATGCAACTCCTTCAGTCCCCAGGCAAGGTATTCCCTTGCTGGCTTGCACTTCACTATTTACAAAAAGAGAAATATTACTCTGGAATTTCTGGAGGATAGATCTCTCAATGTATATCTATGTTAATTTAGAAAGGCAATAAAAAAGTCTTTGAGCCCCTGTTGGAATGGGAATGGCTGAATAAAGCAACAAGGGGGTATGCCAGCTGTATAAACCATTCATTCTACCTTAGTTTCTCCCTTTAGATAAAGGCACTTTGTCTCTCCCCACTCAAAGATGTTTCTTCATCTGATACAATAAAAGGTGAGAAAGATCAAGACCTAAGGCAGACTGACCCTCTCTGCCTAGTCGTTTCTGACATCCCTTTAAGACAACTGTTTTACCAGTTGCTGTATTATTTTTCCACTGAGCACACACCAAGTATTGCTTCATTATGAACTTAATCACCACGCCTCAGTTCTCCCCAGTGCTAGAACAGTCTGGGACTTAGGAACAGATATGCTGTTGCATCTCAGTCCTGCCCTGTAACAGACTACTCTGAAACCCAAGACCCTTATGTGCTTCTCACAGCAGACCTTAGTTTTTATCTGCAGTATTTTGTGGTACTCCAGTTTTCCCTCCCGCCCATTACACACACACACACAGGCTTACCCCCTTTATGAAGCACGTTTTAGTAAGTACTTCATAGTCCCAAAGGATGATGTCTCCACCTTTGGAACCGACAGCTACTGTACTGGGGTGTGTTGGATGCCATTCCAAGCATGTCACTCTCCTGTCAAAGGGACTTGCTGTTCGAAAGAGGCGATATGAGGCAAGAGAACGCAGAAAAGGCAGCTGCAGACACTGTTAAAAAGGTAAAGAGAATTATGACTTTTGCAGGCATCCCTGAGATTCTCTGAATGACAAGTGCTAACAATTTCTAATTGTCATTAGTGTTAGTACGTTCACACAAAATTCTAAACATCTCTGTAAAATTAAGAGGATGAATGCTGAACCCGAGGGAAACAGCCTGTGACCACACAAATCCACATCAGCCACAGCACTTAGAAAGCAACAGAGAACTGAGAGATACCATATTTTAAATGATGTACAGGGTTAGGAGACTGTGGGCTGAGCTAAAATGCGGAGTAATTAACAAGGGAGAAGAACATGCCTCCACACCAGGAAAAGGCACTTATGATTATCTATGTCTTTATTGAGCATCTCAAAATGTTACATGTCATCCAGAGATACAATATTATGGTCCTCCATCCAATTTGTCTGCAGCTCAACTACACAGCATAGGAGTGAACAGAACACTTGAAATAGGGAATGAGAAACCATGAAATATTGCATTGTTGTTCAGTTGAAAAACAGGTACTGCTTCGACGAGCTTGGCAATTTATCATTTGGACACTTAAAATACATAAATCATCAGGAAGATAAAGCTAGCCCAAGTGCCTCCCACCTATGGATGTTAAGAGTTAATTTTCAAATGAAAGGTGTATGGCTCTGGAAAACAGTAAAACATTATGGACTTGATGGACTACATCTGTGAAGAGGTAAAAATCAACACTAAACCTGACAAGATTAGCAAAGCAGAGTGGATACAAGAATAGTATGACAAAACAGTCAGAGCAGCATGCAAATGTATCACTGTGCAATTACTCAGCTGGTAGACTGGGCAAGTTTAAACATGATTCAAGGAAGCACTGAATTAACAGAGGATAAAATGTAGATGACAGGGCTGGGTCAACCAAAAGGGAAAGCCATCTCATCTCTTGCATTTTACACAACTAAGAAACATAAGAGTGCATCAGACTTGGAGCCACAAACTGTATAGGAGGAGAACTTTAAGCCCCTTTAAGTTTTCCTGCTTGTGTTGAAGGTTTTTTTATGTAGGGAGTTACGTCCAACAGGTCAAGAAGGAGACACTCCTCACCTGCCTGAGTGGTGCCCGAATGGAGCCTCCCAGCATGTTCTGGTAGACATAATGAACAATGCTGCGCTGCTGCTCCAGCTGATGGGAAAGGACTCTCTTGTTTCTCACCACAGACCCACCTCCGCTCCAACCTGCCAGATTGGAAAAGAGTAAAACTTACTGATAGGCAACTCATTCACTTAACAGTATGGGAAGACATCTGCATTTGCTGCTATACCCATGAAAAGCTTCAGCCACAAGATAAAAGTCTCTAAATAGTTCTTATATTTCTTAAGGTACAGCAGCTTCTGCAACTACGGAGTCCAGTGGTTCCCATAGACTGCCAGAGCTTTGTGTATGCTTCCTCTTGTTAAGCCTTCCTTCTCTTTGCCAAAGATTTATCAAGGACAACAGGAGAGCACTAAAGCAATACTACAGGTGGGTGGTGCATCTCTTGGACAGTGTACAATTTGAATGGTTCAACCCAAAGCAAAATGCTGCCACCCAAAACCCCAACAACTTGTAAATATGCCATGGGAGGTGGTAAGCCCCGGCATCCAGCAAAAGAAAAGTCAGACGTGTGACCAGCAGAAACACCTGAAAATTCCCCAAGCATAGCACTGCGAGTTCCCACCCAGTTCCTGAAATGCCTGCTTGTGAATCAGAATTTTCGATCTGCCTGTGCTGGAGCCTGTACAGCCTGCCCACAGCACTGCGAGTTTTGTTTTTGATAATAGACTTGCTGACGCCACATCGCCTGAAAACATTTCTGTTCAAAGTGATTTTTGCTGAGAGTACAGCTTGTTTCTACATTTTGTTCATGTTCCAAGTTTTTATCTTCAGGGACTTTTACGTAAAAACTAGATCTGTTCAGTCCCATGTCTGTGATCTACTCATCCCCACAGCGATGGTCTGTAACGCCCCAGGGGATCCAGAAGTCAGATGCATTTCTTAAGAAACATAAATGCAATTTTCATTTAAGGATATTTATTAAAAAAAACCCAAAAAAACAGAAGACTGAAAACACATGGATCATTCTATATGACCAGAACCTAAATGAAATCTTTCTTTAATGCAGTGGTGGAGCCCAGAAATGCACAGGTGTGAAACTGAACTTCTCTGTTCACATGCCAACATAGTGCCAACATTTGTCACACCTGCTGAAATAGGTATAAAAGTATTTATATTCTAATTTATGTTTTTCACAGAAGAATTAGTATCCACAGTTCCTTCTTCAGAGATGACAGAAATTCAGGTATTTTTTCCAAATTCCGTTCTACAATGAAGGATAATTTGTTAAGAAACAAACTTCAGACCTTTTTAGAATCTGCTGGAAGAAATCCTTCAAAAAGGCTGTTCTAATTGCAAGAAACAGAAACTGTCCTATATGGCTCAGGAGAAAAAAATGGTTTTTTCAAACACATAAAAAGTGGAGCACAGACTTGAAAAGTTCAAATACAAAGGTCTTCATCTTTTTAAAAAAGGGTTAAGGAAAAATATGATTGGCCTCATTTTTCTGAAGTACTAGCTACATCCAATTACCTCTGAATCTTACAGGAATGGCAGATGCTTACCGAATCTGAAAATCAGGCCATGAATTTACAATAAAATCATGTAGCTAAATTAACTACAGAAGATGCTCTAACTATCCACAATTACACAATTACAGAACTCCTTTCAAAGAGTATTGTGTCTCCACTGTTCACACTGCTAACTGTTCCAAGTTTGGACCTACAGACCACACAATGGAAATGTTTAAAATCGTAAAACGCTTGTATCTTTGACTGTTGAAATGCACTTCAGTATTTTCTGGTTCCTTAAAGCCAAACTTGTACAGGAAGTGTGTAGTATCTCCACACAAGGCAGTAGCCCCAGTGATCTTCTAAACCATTGATGGAATTACAGGTCTTCTGTGAAAAAGGAGGCTGAAGGGAGACTTTCTCTCTCTCTACAACTACCTGAAAGGAGGTTGTAGCAAGGGAGGAGTCAGTCGCTTCTCCCGAGGAACAAGTGATAAGACAAGAAGAAAAGGTCTCTAGTTGCACTAGGGGAGGTGTAGACTGGACATTAGGAGAAATTTCTTCACTGAAAGGGTTGACAAGCATTGGAACAGGCTGCCCAGGGAAGACGTTGAGTTACCATCCCTGGAGGTATTTAAAAGACATGTCAACATGGCACTTAATGACATGGTTTAGTGGTGGCAGTGCTGGGTTAACGGTTGGACTCGATGATCTTAAAGGTCTCTTCAACCTAAATGTCTCTATGAAAAGTCCTTGCTGTAGGTAAAGTCTAGTCAACTTTCTTGATAATTCAAAGCACTAAACTTTCCAGTATATTAGAAATTAATCACCTCTCCACATTACATCAAAAATCTTTAGATTTTTTTACCTAAGTTACATAGTAAAGGAAAAAATTGCACATGATGACAAGTGATTAGGAGAAATTCTGTCCGTTCTACTCTAAACATAGAAGTAGAAAGTATTCCTAGTTACTGTAGCAAAAGTTAAAATATGCAAAGATTCCGGAGAAAATGCCAGTTTAGACTGCATGCTGCAGAATACCAACCTTATGACTACTAAACTGCATTAGGAATTGCATGAGAGAAAAAACGATGCGTTACCAAGACTGGTCTGCTCTACACTAAAGCAGAGATCTGGTAATATAGGAATTCCACAAAACTTAACCACCCTCAAATGACAGCATCTTCAGGGAGCATGCTTTCGCCAAGGGGTACAGGTCTCAAAAATTAAACATGCATGCATGCACACGCACTCACTATACAGAAAATTGGAGGATGTACTACTCCAATACATGCCCACCTATCACTTGAATATATAACACCATCTGAACACTCATGTCTGAACACATTTCTTGGCATTCTCCCTCTTTAATTAGTCAAAGCCTATCATTTGCAGTAAGTCTGGTAGAGAGAAAACAGTAAGGATCTGAGGAAATGTTACCAATTTTCTCTGGGGGTTTAGATGTTTTTCTCACAAACAACCTCTTTGCTTGTGTCTCATTCCCCAGTTTCTCATAGTCCGCTTTCCTCTTCCCAGCTGATTTTGCCTCTTCTGGCCAATGCTGATACACCCTCTCACACTCCTTGTCCTTTGGCTGGTTCACTGGAGCCATCCTGTCTGACCACTGAAAGTAAACAAAGCAAGGAAGGTTAAGACTGTCACACACTTCTAACTAGAGAGCAGAAAAAAGAAAACTGGAATGAAACATGCCAGTGGTCTGAAAGTAGTGATTATTATACCTGTACCCTCTTTCATCAGTATGGCACTGGCTTTTTGTTGTGCCCTGCTGAAGAGGGGAAGAAGTTCAATAAACTCTTCTTTGTTCACCTATGAAAAATAACGTATCCTAAAGCACTAGAATATGTTTTGATAGATGTTCTTCTACCAAACTTTTAAGCCTGAAACCCACAGATCTGCATAAAGTAAATCTGTGAAACCACATAATATCCTAACTTTTTCAGTAGTAGCTAACACAGAACTCTTTAGATTCAGCTTTCATGATGATGGCCTGGGCTGACTGATCTTCCAACAACCGTGCTCAGAAGGCATTTCCAGTTTAGCGGCCACTTTTACTCACAACCACCACCCGGTATTTGGATTGGGCTCCCGCACTGGCTGGCAACCACACCCGGGCTGCTCCACCGAGAGCGACGGGATGCAGCCCCTCGTGTCCCGTGCTGTGACGACCACAAGGCCACCAGGCCCCTGAGGAAAGGCGCGGGCCTCCCACAGCCTCCCTCGCAGCCGGCGGGCGATGCGTCACACGCATCCCCCCGGCGGATCCTCCCCGAAGCACATCCAGGGGCTTATCCCGTGCTCGCGCTGAACTTATTTAGAATTCCTAAATGGCTGCCACGGCTATATGTATTTAAATATATGGCTATATACAAATATAGCTCGGCGGGCACCCCGCAGGCTTCCCCAAATAGCGCACACTCGGCGGCTCCGGGCCTCGCGGGGCCGCCCCACAGCCCCGGCCCGGCCCGGCCCGGCCCGGCGCCCCTGCGGCCTGGCCGAGAAAGGCCGCCCCGCTCTCACCTGCGCTCCGGCGGCCTCGGCTCCCCCGGCGCCGCCGCGGTTGGCGGGCGGCACCGGCCCCTCCCCCGCGGTTTCATAACCGGGGCGGGAACGGGGGTCAGCGGCCCCCGCCCGGCCCCGGGGAGCAGAGCAGAGCCGAGCCGAGCGCGGCCACGGCGGCCCCCGCCCGCCCCTCGCCGCTGAGGGGCACCGGCCTCGGCAGGGGGAAGCCGGAGAGGGCGCGGGGTGCCGGCCCAGCCCCTGCCCGCCTCCACCGCCCTTACCCCTGCCGGCCTCCCCGGCGATCAGCGTGGGCAGCACCTCCGACTCCGCCGGAGCCGGACTGCACGGGAGGCGGCTGCAAGGTGTCCGTTGTCTGCCTGTTGTCGTTTCGGTGCAGCACTCAACAATCTTACGTACCTTATTGGTTTCTAGAGCACCAAACTGGCTTATTAAAACTGGTTGATAAGGGCCCCAGATACAGTAACCAACAGCAACTAAAAAAAGATACTATTTCAAAACACAACTTACACAAGAAAACACACCTGGTATCAGAAACCAACAGAAAAAAAATGCGCTTCAAAAGCATATAAAAACGTCACGTCAAGAGCAGCTCGGAGAGTACCAGACCTTACATGACGAAGCTGACAAGAATGGGGAAGGAAGAGCCCTACCAACACAGCGGAAGGTACCAGCACTTCCCCTCCACCTGCAGAGGGGCCCTGTTGCGTGGCGAACTTTATCCATTACCTCCGGAGCAGTAGCATCCCAGGCTTCAGGCCTCCCAGTGCCTATGCTCAGTAATAAAGGTGCAGTCACCCACAGCTGGCTATGAACACAGGTCCTAAAATATCTGTACATAGCCATGCCTTGAACTGTGGGGCTTTAGGGTTTCGTTTTGAGTGTTGGTATTTTTTGTGCTATAACTATAGTTACCTATGCATTTTCTCACATATTAGGAAATGCACAGAAAAACTAATAGAAAAACAACAAACGCCCAGTCTCTATGCTTTTTCCCTGAACAGTAACAAAGTTGTATTAGTTGCTGCCATCCTGTATTAGAATGCCATACACAAAAATGATAACCACAGACAAACACAATCTGGCTTTGAACATATATATCAACCCAAACAGCAAGTCTTAAAGTCTTACCAGGCACTTCTCTAATACACTCCATTCTTCTTAGAACTGTATCCATTAGCAAAATACAGCAAGAGGAAAAACTGAACACAGCACTTCCCTTCTTGCTTCTGAAGCCTCAAAGGTTTGATTTCTGGGAAGAAAAACTACTATAGAAAAAAAAAATCTTCATATCTTGACAGTGATCAACACTTTCTTCTATAGGTCTGTGGAAGTCTTCATCATAGGATCCCAAAGAAAACTCTGATGGTTATCCAAGTTATCTCCAGCAAAGATGTGCACTTCTGCACCCCCTCCATTTGTCTTCCAGCAGAATTGTCCCCATGCAGAGCACACACAGAGTAACCTTCATATTTCCCTATTGGAGCTATCACAGTTAGCATTTTTCAGAAGTGGAATGGAGTAGAATAGAGTAGAATAGACTGTTTCATATAGAAGGGACCTGCAATGAGCATCTAGTCCAACTTCCTGACCAGTTCAGGGCTGATCAAGTCAAAGCCTGGTATTAAAGGCATTGTCACAATGCCTCTTAAACACTGACAGACTGTGGCATCAACCACTTCTCTAGGAAGCCTGTTCCAATGTTTGACTACACTCTCAGTAAAGAAATGCTTTTTAGTATCCAGTCTAAATGTCCCCTGGTGTAGCTTCAAACCTTTCCCATGCATCACTGGATACTAGGGAGAAGAGAACAGCACCTCCTTCTCTGCTTCCCCTCCTTAGTTGTAGGGAGCCATGAGCCCTTAGCCTCCTTTTCTCCAAACTAGACAAGTCCAAACTCTGAACCCATTTGAGGACTTCAACACCCTTAAATTCTGGCCCCCAGGACTGTACACAGTACTAAAGGTGAGGCTGCATGCTAAAAACAGTGTTTGTATCAATGTCTAACCCCAAGTTTACTTTCTCTCTAGAGAATCACCAGATATTTTTGTAGTTTTTATCCACTAAGGACAAGAACAGCAGACAGTACACAATTCATCCACAGAAAAAATGCCACTGGCCTGGGGTCTCAGAGCTCAGTGTCTATATGGTACTCTGAGCAGGCCAGAGAAAGACTAATTTGAGAAAATATTCTTATATGTATTTACAGTTTCACACTCTTTGAACTACAGTATGCAGCAAAGTCAGAGGAGTATAATTCTGTGGGGGCAAGATATTAGGCTTATTTTTATGATGCCTTTTGTCTGATGTACAATTATGTTCAGGCTGTGCCGCAGTTGCAGGTTGTGGTTCTCTTCCACAGAATAAAGCTGTCTTGTCACCGGGTCTGGTAAAGCTAAACTGTGATTAAGATCAACTTCATGGTATTGGTAATACCATTAGGTGTCCTCCTTGTTACCAAGATCTTTGTCCAAAGCATAGATGGTTTTGGCTACTTTAGTTTGACTACTAATGTATACCACTACAGCAACTAGAGCTTGCCGTGCATGTGAAAACAAGCCTATATTCCACTAAAAAGTAGGAAAAAATATATAATCCTAAGAAGATAAAAGAGAAAGAGTAGATATCACGCTATCTGACCTTCTATCCCATGACAATTGCTAAGCTGCCTGCACCAGGAAAATGAACAAAAATATTACAGTTGTTATGACCTCATTTACCTGAGCTCCCCATCTTCCCTAAGCCACTCCAGCCTTGGAGCAAGGCTTGCAGCAGCCATGCTATGGAGTACTCTCACCTTGCAATCAGTAATAGCAGCGCCCAGGTCCCAAATGGACGTTATCTATCTTGGATGCTCAGTACGTTGACCATCAATATAGAAATCAGCACGAAAACATAGCAAAGGCAAACGCTGGATATAGAATATTAATGCATGAGGTGTTTGCCTTTTCTGTACTTCATTAAGATACATTAGTTTGATAATGGAATGAAAAACTCAGAACATAATTGAATTAGGGAGTACCTATGTCAAAGACTTGAGTTTGGTTATGTTTTAGTAAAAACAAAGTTGTTGCTTATAGGCTCAACTGTGATTAACTTTGAGGACAAGATAAGTATCTTTCCTCACTTCCTGAAAGGATGCTCATGGTCACACCCCAGCCAATGACCTGCCATGGGTGCCCATCTTCCAGGGACCACGCACTGAGGATTTGCCTTAAAAGAATTTAAGTGGAATGGTTCCTAATGTCCACTTTCCAACACAGCAATGTGAAGGGCATCAGTACAGGAAATTTCCTGGATCTTATGAAACCTGGGGCAGTTGTAAAGAAAAAACATCTAAGTACTGCTCCAGAGAAGTGGAAGTACAGATTTATGGCACACTCTTTCCTCTCTTCCTCCTGCAAGGCTCTCAGTCTTTCTTTTCTCCACCAGTTGAATAAACATCACTGTAAACCCACAGCTGGTCCTTGGAATTGTGTCCTAAGTCACTTGGAAGCAGTCAAGAGGAGGCAGGTCTCCCAGTGCTTCTCACAACAGCCTTGCCCCAGCGTCATGGTGAAATCGCACCTGGGGCCTGGCGTTAGAAATGGAATTGCTGGCAGGCAAACTCCCTGGCATTCAGAAACACCTGGTGTCATCTTAAAGGCTATGAGAGCTTAAAGACAAGGTCCAGATTATTCAGATAGAGGTTTTCAGAGGAAAGGGAGAGTGACTGAAAACAGGATTGGGCTGAAAGATGGATGCCAAGCCAAACCGAGGTGAAGACAGTCTTCAAGCCCAGGGAGAGTGACCCATGTCATGCTCACAAGCAAGAGCACAGCATTACACTTGGGTAGGAGCCTGCCTTGGGGAACCTGCTTGGGACTCCTGCTCCAGCACACCGGAGGCCAGCTGGCCGGCACAGCACACAGGGGAACTAAAAACCGACTAAAGCTCCAAAGCCAGTGGGCAACACGGACAGGAGCCCAACTCCTCACGTCAAGGCCGAGCGGGCAGCTCCTCACAGGGCCGCCACCCTCCCGCTCCCGCCGCCCACCACAACCGGGGGCCCGGCCGCTCAGACCTCAGCTGGCGCCCTCCTCACCCCGGGCCCAGGGCCGACCTCACGCCCTCCCCGTGGCGGGGAACGGCGACGGGAGCCGGAGCTGCCCTCCCAGCGCCCTGCCCCGGCCCCACCTGCCTGGACAGAGCCCGCTCCCGTTAATTGGATCAAGGGCCCGGCGGAGGGGGCGGGGAGGCGGGAGCTGTGTCGGAGCCGCTCCGCCGCCACCGGAGCGCCCCGAGAGCAGGGGTCGGGCCCGCCCCGCGGGAGCTGCTGGAGGCGGGGCGGAAGCCCCCGTGTCCCGCGGCTGAAATAGGGGGAGGGCTCAGCCTGCGGCCAGCCCAGGTGGCCGCTGCCCGCCCAACGTCCCGCCAAGTAGCGCTGCCTGCGAGGTAAGTGGTGGGATGACCTCTGCGGGGTTGTGTGCTCCACTCTCCTGGGCCGGGCGGCTTTCGGACCTGTGCCCCGTGGAGTGCTGGGGTCCTGGTGGCAGAGCTCATCCCAGTCCCGCCGCCGCCTTCCCGCGGCGGGCAGCGCGGCGCGGGAGGGGCTGGCAGCTGCGAGGGAAAAGTTTCCTCATGGAAAGGGGGCGGATGGGGGAGGCGGTGCCCGGCTGGGCGCTGCCTGTGGGTAGAAGGGGACCGGGAGGCGGCTCGGCGCAGTTCGGCTGGAGTCGCAGCGGAGACCCCCGGTAGGTGCGGAGAGGGGCGGCGCGGCCGGGAAGGGCGGCGGGGCTGCGATCCCCGGCAGGTTGTTAGCGGGGAGCTAGGGAAGCTCCCGCGAGAGCTCCGGTCCCTCCGCGTCCCTCGCAGCCCGGCCGCCAGCCCAACCCTCGGCGGGTGCCCCGCCGCCGGCCTCCCGGGGCCGGCTCGCCCCTGCCGCCGCCCCGTCGCTGGGGGTTGCCGAGGCTCCCCCTCCCTCCTTCCCTCCGGCGCCCGCGCCTCCGCTCCGCCGTGGGGACAGGGGCCCCTTTGTGCCGGATCCGTGCTGAGCTGCTTCCCACTCTGAAACAGGAGCCGCGGGCGCTGGCAGCGCTGTGGAGAAGGGGGATAAAGCGGCTTCCCAGGACCCCTTGGGGGAAGGGGCCGCGCCGGGGCCCGGGCTCAGGGCCGCTGCACTCCCTTGTCTCAGGGGATCCGTATTGCCGGTCTGTGAGCCGGACTCCTGACAGCCGGATTGAGGAGTTCGGCAGGCGGGACAGTGCTCTTGCTCATTCTCTTCGTCCCTTCTGGCTGCCGACAGCAGGGAGGGGAGAGGAGGGCGGGGGGCAGGCACAGCGGTGCTGCCTGCGGCTGTGTCACTGGGCCTCTGGCAGGCTGCTGGGGTTACCGTGTCCTCTGCAGCCCCGGGCAGGAAAAAGCTGATAAACATGGAGGGTGTTAGTGGGCCTGAACATCCAGTGCTTGAGAGGACAGTCTCATTTGTCGCTGTTCACAGGAGGAGGGTTCCATGATCTCTGCAACGCTATTGATAAGTGAAGCTAGCATGGCCCGAACGCGTTAACCTGTTTCACCACTTTCTGTGCCAACTATGTGTTCTTCACTTGCTTCAGTTCTTCAGGCATGCAGAAGGCTCAGAGCTTGGTGGTGAGGGTGAGGTTAGCTGACCACTTCTGGATACTTGTTCCTGGCCCTCGGAAGTAGTCTGGCCTTTTCTTTCACTCTTTAACCCTGGAAACGCATGCTCCCTACCTCCTGAAACTGGAGATGAGCCTCTCTCCCCTTCAAATCAACTGCCAGTCTAATTTGCACAAAGGAATTTTTGATATGATGGTAATTGATTGCAGTACAGTACCAAAGCAGAGCCTCCCACTCCACCCTGGAATTGAAATGTCACTGAGAAGTCACTAAGCCTTACAGTGGGTGACACAAGTCATTCTGGGGGCGGTGTGGGAGCAGAATGTACAACTGCAGCATGTGGGCTAAAAATGACAGGGTCCAGATACTCCTTGCTCCAGGTGTGAGCTGGTCTCTGGGTGGAGTCAAAGTGGAGCTTCTCCCCATGCATTGCATAACTGGACACATTCTTTCAGGCAAGGATTCACCTTTCTCTGAAGTGCACAATGTGCTCTGTGTGAGATGGAGTCAGTTCTCCTTTGACTGTGTTTTGTGTAATTAATGGTATTTCACTAGAAGTTCCCTAAAATATTTGCTAGATTGTCCTTTGAGTTGCAGCTTGGAACAGAATGAATGTGTGAGCTGGATCAGCTGCCTGTTGCCTTCCCTATTCTGTGCGTGCTCTATTGTATTGCTTTATTGGCTTTTTTTTTTTTCTTCTGACCTATGAGTTTGAGCTTCTCTGGCTTGCCTGCGCTTGTTCAAGTGAAGACTGTCTTCTTCTCAGGCTGTAAAAACCAGTAACTTCAGTGCGTCAGCTATGCATAGGCCTGAGAACAACTGCCCACCTGTAACTCCATTATCGAATGTCAGCAAGTGAATAGGACTGTGTGTGACTGGACTACACTAAAATGCTGCAGGTCATTGGCAGACTGTTTGTAACCAAGTCATAAAAGCTTGAAAGTCTTGTGGACCCAAATTAATTTCTTCACAGGACAATGACTGGTGGTTTTAGTCATTTTAGGGTTTTGTGGCTTATACAAGACCTAGCCTGAATCTTCTGGGCTTTCCCTGGACAATTATGAATTTCCAATAAAAAAAAAAATCTATACACACACACATGTATATATCTGTTCAATAATATAGCCAGGTATATTTGTAATGTGACTTCTTAGGAAATGCAGAGCTGTGAGAACACATCAGTCACTGCAGCAGGGGTGATGTGAGCGTCTGTCAAGAACTCATGATATCACCAAGCATGGCAAATACTGTATATTCTTTATTCCGGCCATCTTGAAGGCTGGAGATTATTCAGTTGTTGTTTGATCTATTTGGTCTGTGTCATGGCTGACATCCAGGGATTGAACTGGGGACCTCAAAAGCTAAAAGTATCTGCTTGTACCCTGAGTGGAGAAAGCTATGCTCTTGATCAGCAAGCATTAATAAACTGCCATCTTGATCAGCAAGCATTAACAATTTTTGCCATCAGCTGATCAGTGATGTGTGAATTTGGGCTGCTCTTGAGAGTTCATGGGGAAATGCCTAAACAATAGGGGAGCTGTTTAAGCCCTTTAAGAAGCTCTTATCTTTTTAAAGCAGACTTTGTGATCAGGCAAGCTATTTTATCACTAGTCAGTCAGCGTGATGGGTGTAGAGGGTACTCTGTGACAGGCAACTGTGTCAGATAAATTAAAAAAAAGCCTTAATATTTTAGTTTGAGGCCATAGTGGATAGGTCAGAAAACAGTGGCTATTGTATCTGGAAGTTTTCATGAAGAATTTGGGATTTTGCTCTTTGAACAATTACAAAAGAACTTTGAATCCATGGAGCAGTTACGAAGCTATTCAAGCGGTAGCTTTTTGCTACTTCCTTGCAGCACGGTGACCACTGTAATTTAACATCCAAATGCACTCTGACTGTTTGGGCACAAATTTTTCCAGCATAACAAAGTGTAATGTCAGTGCAAATAGCCTGGTGCATCCTCTGCTATAATCATCCAGCTTTGTTTCAGTGACTGGTACATTAGTTTCAAGTTCCTTCAAGCTGAAGTACAGGCTGAAGCTGGGCACTGCTGTAAGGCAGTATGTGTGACTAGCATCCTAATCATATTTGAGCCTTCAGTGGTTTCTTCTTGCTGTGAATGGCATGATGGGAAAGAGCCTTTCAGACTTGTGATAATCAGAATTTGTGTGTTAAATCTAGTGATTGTCACTGGGCACCGTAGTTTGTTGAAGAGGCATGTGAGATCTCCGTGGTGCCAGGGGCTTGGATCCAGAGGCATTAGGCTTGTGGGGGATTTTATCCTCTCTTAAAAGGTGATTGTGGTAGGACTCTTTATTGCAATATGTCAGTAAGTTCTTCCAGACTAGAGGAGTTAAAATTGCTGCAGGCAACCCATAACTAACAATGTTAGCAAGTCTTCAGCCTCCTCAGCCCTGTCTGTACTTTGAGCTTGTCCAACCTTCATCTCTTCTGTTTGTAGGAAGATATGGTCCTTACCTCCTGAGCTCTTGGGGCCATAGTCGGTCTTTTCAGTTGCTACAGGTGATTTTTTTGTTGTCAGTAGCTTCCTCCTGTCCCTTAGTACCCCTGCTGCCAAACCAAAACTCTCCTGCTCCTGAGTGTGCTGGGCTACATCAGCTGCAGTACTGCTGTGCAGAGCTCTGAAGTAGCTTTGCTGCCTTCTCTGACAAGGGCAAGAAGCTTTCGTGAAGGATTGGGAGAAGATGCAGCATATTTCACTTGAATGATTCTGGATATTTACTTTTGCTTCTTAGTGTTTCCAGTCAGCTCTATCTTGTGCTAGGACTGCTGATGTGTGGAAACCTGTGTGAAAGCCTGCTCTTGGCTCCAGCAGGCTTCTACCCCAATGCAAGCAAAAATTCAGGGTTTGAGCTGCTTCAGGAAGCATGAGGAGGGGGGAGATAAAGCCCACTGTATTGCTGTTGTGCTTGCAGTTTTTTAAAAAGCCTTCCAGTGTTCTTTCCTCACGTCATGTTGAGTCCTGAGGACCAGAAACTGAGATCACTCCTTTGGGCAGTAGACTGAGAAAGCAGATGACATTGCAGTGATGCTGAACAGTTAAAATCTATCCTGTCACGTGGGCTGACTGTCCCATTTGCCTGTGTTCTCCTGGAGTCTTTTGGATAACATCTGGGATATGAAGCAATTTATATTAATAGTCCTGTCCTTCAGCTTGAGATCCAAAAATCTATTTGAAGAGGCACCACTGATACCAAAGAGCAGATTCTGTGTAGATACTGTGAAAGCAGATAAAAGTTGCTCCGTGACATATAGGACAATGAACTTCAAGAATAATGTGTGAAGTATTTGTGGCCTTTCAGTGGAAGAATTTCAGCCTTTCAGTATGTAAAGGGAGCTTATAAAAAAAGAGTGTGACTTTTTACATGGATAGATGGAGATAGGACAAGGGGGAATGGTTTTAAACTAGAGGAGAGATTTAGATTAGATGTTATGAAGAAATTCTTTACTCAGAGGGTGGTGAGGCACTGGAATAGGTTGCCCAGAGAATCTGTGGATGCCTCATCCCTGGCAGTGTTCAAGGCCAGGTTGGATGGGGCTTTCAGCAACCTGGTCTAGTGGGTTGCGTCTCTGCCCATGGAGGTGGGCTTGGAACTAGATGGTCTTTGAGGTCCCTTCCAACCCAAGACTTTCTGTGATTTTATGAAGTATGAATCTCCACAGTGCAGGCCAGTTCCTAATGGCTTTCCTACTTCAACTTTGTCGTCTTTGTGAATCTCTAGCAAATCTGTTAGAAAGGTATGAGAGTATCTTTAGGAATGAAATATCTATGAAGTGAATAATCTGCCAAACTC